TTTTTGAAACGTAGGCATTCTTTCGAGATCTACCATTGTTTTAATCATTGAGCAGAAGTTATAAACTTTTTATTACTTTCAAATATCACGTCTACCGTGCACAAAAATATCACATTTTCATAAAGTGAGATTACTCCTTCTCTATTAAACCGTATGCGTTTGCCGATAAGATTGCGTAACTATGCTACGACATTGGTCATTTTGATCTATTGTTAGAGGTATCGATGATCCAAAAAAATGTGTTGAAAATAGTGTTGTTGCCAGTAATATGAATACTGTAACACTTGCGATCCCGTTCTCTCTGTACAGTTCTTGGAGGTTTGTTACTTTACGCCAAACATGCACTAAATTGCCTGAATGCTTCGTGGGCCGCACGAACGTCCTTGACGGGCCGCATGCGACCCGTGGGCCGCAGGTTCGTCACCTCTGGACTACACGGACAACTCACCAGGTCTATCTGTAGTCGAGTTGTCTGCCTCCCATTTCACATGTCCCGTGACAATAATCTACTCTTCTGCATTCAATTGCAACATGAATTGAAATACTAAGTAATCCTTTTCATTCCCTTCTCCATTATTGGAACAAAATTTAAAAAACAAGCCCCGCTTTTAACAGACAGCTACGAGTTAGTTCAGTGTCACCGCGCTGTGTTACGGTACCGGAACTGCCCTATCTTCAGAAGTTCCTATCTTGTGACAGCGTGAATTGAAATTGCAAGATGGTCCGACTCACAACTGTAGTAACACCAACGATCCGAGTCACTACTGTAATATAACACCAAGTACGGTAATATTCGCCATTCACTATTCCTCAAATCTTAGCAAAGCAAGGATTTCTTCACGAACCACCGACGTTCGATGGCACATGATCAAAAGACATGAAGAGGAGTGCCAGCATATGCGTCCGCAGAACGTCCGGTGACGTCATAGCAAACAAATCTCACAGAGCCAACAGAAATATTTGAAATAAATAAAAGTAATAGTCTTCTGGAGAAAAAATTCATCTTTGACCACTAAAAATTTCAAAGCAATTGGTCCAGTAATCAAAGAGAAAAGCGACTTTTTAGATTTTCCACTAAGTGTCAAAAAACAAAAACAACAACATAATATTGAAATGATCCATAGGTTCACTACGTGTCCAACAAGAGAGATATGCCCAAATATATGGACACGTAGAGCCACACAATTTTGATGACGTCATTGCGCGAAAAAATGATAGCCTTCTGGAGAAAAAATCTATCTTTACCCACTGAAAATTCCAAACCGATTGGTCCAGTAATCAAAGAGAAATACGATTTCTTCAGAACGTGTCAAAGAACAACAAGAACAAGACTAAGAACAACACAAGAGAGCTATGCTCAAATATATGGACACGTTTGACGTAAATGAAAGTAATATCCTTCTAAAGAGAATTTTTATTCAGTAATGGACCTTTCCCCCGCGCATCGACTTCCTTGTTTACTTCGTGATATTGGCCAATCAGCAAATTGCAAAAAGTGACGTAACAATGCTCCCTTTTCGCATCCGCTCAGATACTTTTTTCACTCAGACAGATTTTCAAGCGTGGTCGTAAACATTACCTCGTTTTTGCATTTTTGAACTCTATTCGTTAGTTTTCAGTTGTGTTTTGGAAACTTAAATGTAAATCAGATATGTCAATGGTCACCCTGTCTTCCTAGGAGTTTTAATTTAATTGCAGTAATAAAAATTAGTGTAGAAATAGCTGTGATAGACTAGGCTAAAACTCTTCAACGGTAATTTTAAAAAACAGATTGTTGTATGCGATGAATCATAATGATGGTTTGAAACACATACCCCATTTTACAAGCGCCAACTCGCAAAAGAACTCTTAGAATAGCCCCGAAAATTTTGCAATGGTAAAGTATAGGATGAATTTTTCGGGGGTCAAAGGTCGGGGAAAGGTCCATTAAAGAGAAAAGCGACTTTTTAGGATTTTAGGATTAGGTAACAAGTGGGCGTGGCTTTTCACACGCTTTCTCACCCTCAATGCATAGCCCCCACCCTCAATGCCACTTGAAAAAATTCCCATTACCCGGGCAAACGCTTTCCCGCTCCGAGAACGGAGATTAACGGCCTCTAAACGCCAAAATCACTCTAGTGTGACCAGATCGATGACTTGATTGACAGGTAGCCCACTCCGGGCCACTAAAAGCCTGTTTTGTCCCACTTCCAAGTTAAACGTGAATTGAAATACCAAGTGATCCAAGTCACTTATCCATTACGGTACCAGGGCAAAATAAAAATATCGATTCCCCGATAATCATATGCGGTACAGTAACTTACCAGTACATGAAATTCGTTCGCAGAACGGTTCTTCCTTGTCATATAAAAACTCAATTCATTTCCTCTTATCAAATAAAAAAATAAGGTAGGCTACAAAATTTATGTTGTTTACATCAGAACTGTAACGAAAAGATGAGAGCGTAATTCACTGCGGTACCGTACGGTACCTTACCAGTACTGCAGTACCAGTACCGACCTGTTGCTGTATGTAGGCCTGCTATTCGATCGTGGAACGGTTCTTCTCTGACATATAAAAACTCAATCAATTTGCTCTTATCAAAATTAACAAGTACGGTAGGCTAAATTTGCAAGAAAACCTACATTACTGCAATAGTAAACCAAAGTTACCCCAGCCCACACTCAGCCTGACGTCAACGGGTTATAAAATCGCGAAAGGAATAAGTCATTTTCACTGTGGTACCCAACTCACCGCAGTACCGTATCTGCCAGACAATTCTTTTTTGCAAAAGCAACTAATTCGATTTATCACGGTATTATAACAGCAGATACCACAGTCTACAACTATATTCACACCAAGCGAAGCAGTGCAGTACGGTTTACCGTACCTTTAGCATCACCGGTAACCTAAAAAAACTTGCAATTTTTGAGAAACGATTTTCAGAATCCGCCTTCACGCCGACCTTAGATGACGTCATAGCAAACAAAAACAAATCTCACAGAGCTAACAGAAATATTTGAAATAAATAAAAGTAATAATCTTCTGGAGAAAAAATCAAACTTTAACCACTGAAAATTTCAAAGCAATTGGTTCAGAGAAGAGAAAGGCGAAGAGAAGGGCGATTTTATAATGATGGTGACGAAGAATAATAACAATAAGAAGAGTGCCTGAATAAAATGCAAAACGATCGTTATGTCCACTACGTGTCCAACAAGATTACCAAAAATATGAAAACGATCCATAGGTCCACTCACGTATCCAAAAATACCAGGACGATCGTCATGTCCACTACGTGTTCAATAATGAATATCGCCTACGTTCTCCACGGGAAACCCCCTTTCCTATCCTTCAATAACACAATATGGCTGGTAATAAAGGAGAAAGAACTGTAAATTGACGTTCCAAAGCCTTTAACCCTTTCCGTGCGGTGGGCACGTATACGTACCCACGACAAAACTCACTAGATTGCGGCGGGTACGTTGATGTACTCCACTGTTTTATTTAGCAATCGGTCGCAAACTGTTGGTCTAGTTTTTCCGGGTTTTAGTTTATTGATAAGAAGTCTTCTTCGAGATTAACCTAAGCGACGGTAAATCTCGCTTTCGTTTACCATGGGAATTTTATTTGCGGAGGAACGATGGAGTGTTTTAGAAATTTATGCAAATTTCGGTGTTTTTGGGTGGTAATAGAGGACATATTATCCCTTCCATCTACCAAAGTATTTTGAGTTATATAACGAAATTGCTACAGCAATATTATACTAATGTTTGCCAACCAAGAAGCGGTAACAGTAAAGGATTTAGCGAATATTTCTATTTTTTATCACGGTTTGAAGTTTCAACACCCAAGAAAAAAAAATGCCTTTTTTCTATCCGGTTTGTGACTCAGACCACCCCTTTTGAAAAAAAAAAAATTTTTAATCGCCAATTGCAAGCTCTTTAAATAAGTTTTCCAATGAGCCGTCAGTGGGCAGCAGAGGATCATTACTTTTTCGTCAGTCGATCGATTAGTTGTGTGGGTACAAATGCATAAAGTCGGCGTAGCAAATACGATTATTTAATAAAAAATAAAAATCGCATGGAAAGGGTTAAGATAAGATACGTTAATTCTTTAGATTTTATAAGTTACAATGTGTTGTATCGGTTAGCCTTACGTACCGTATACTGTTCAAAGTTCAGGATTGTATTTTCTATGGCCTCGAGCAATGGATACCGGTAACACGCACGTCCTACCATTGATGACTTCACAAACGTTAAGGTATCAATGGTCCTACGGTGTCGGTATACCGGTACGGTAACGTTACCGTACACTGATACTTGAAAACATGTAGATTCCTGGAGACACTGTAACGGTGTCGTCAGGATTAGGTTTCCCATGGCAATGAGGCACGGTGCCATACCGGTACCGGTACCAGGGTACGGTACCGGTAGGTAGTTTGTGATTCTACAACTTACAGACTTACGGTACCGTACCGGTGCTGCGTGTTGTTTCGTTGCAGCGATGTACTAGTACTGTAGTACCTACTTTGTACCAGTACCGTAGTTAGTGACTTAGTTTACAGTCTTAAAATTGGCAGTCAGGTGTTACCGTTAGTCTTAGTCGTTGCAACGTTGGGTGAAACACATTTAATACTGTAATACAAGTTAAAATTGCCTTGATGTGCTTATATAAATGTACCGGTATGCTGTTGTATATTTGGCAAGGCGGTGTGGCTCAACGGGCTACCGTAAGCGTTAGAAATACGCTCGCCACCGCACCTCTAATTACTCTGCGTGGGTTCGCAGGTTCGAATCCCATGCAGGGTTCGTTATGTAAGAGAGGATTGCTGGACTCCTTGCCGCCGTTGGGTGGTTCACGTAACCGCTGGTCGGTTACGGCTTCCTTCACCACCAAGTCCATGCTTCCGAAAACAAACAATATAACTAATCCCATACCCGACTTGCAATGGTAACCGGACGAGATGCCGTGGTTCGCCATATGGATAAGCTGTCTTATCGGCTTTCCTCTCCCCCAGGATAAATATGTAAATCCGATCCTATCAAGCTAGCGGAGAGTACCGGTACGGTACAGTATGAAATTTTTCTTCTCATTTTAATATGGTTATTCGGGGCAGTGCCACAATGAGTTGGATTAAATCAAAGATGGCAATTTCCTGTTTTTGCAGATTCAGTTTTGCGCAAATTTTTTCATTTTATTGGGAGATATCATTTCACCATGCTCATACCGGTGAGAATTGAAATGCTGTATACAAAATTTTTGTCCCAGGGGCTATGCATCAAATCGATGCATGTAGGGTAGGATGATACCTAATAAATAGTGACAAATTTTGAACAAGAGAAGTGAAATAATATTGTCAAGGTGAGGAAGATATGGCAATGCTGACATTACGAATGTTTTTTTTTTCTGTATTGACGAGCTTAATTCTTAAATGAAATTTCTCTCCAGTTTAATAAATATTCCTCTCCAAGGTAAAAGTAACATGAATAGTGCCTGTCACCATTTGTATATTTCTACATATTAATTGGTACCACTCCATACATTTAGTTGCAGGCTAATATTATCCTCTAGATATGTCAGTCAATTACGCTGCTGGTCTATCACCCTATGAACACAAGGGAAAATGTGGAATGCCTGAAAGATTAGACGAAACTGAAAGTTTGCAAAATGCTGTGAAAGAACTTGTCAGGCTGATCTTGGAAAGCAAGTGTACTGTTGTCCATACAGGAGCTGGCATAAGCACTTCATCTGGCATTCCAGATTTTAGAGGTCCCAAAGGTGTTTGGACCCTAGAAGAGAAAGGTATGAAACCAGAATGCAACATCCGCTTTGAAGACGCAGTTCCATCATACACCCACAGAGCTCTAGTTAGACTTGAGCAAGCAGAACTGGTACACCATGTTGTTTCACAAAATGTTGATGGACTACATGTAAGGTCTGGCTTTCCAAGAAACCGCTTATCTGAACTGCATGGTAACATGTTTGTGCAAGTATGTGACAAATGCAATAAAGAGTATGTGATGGACTATGCTTCTCCAACAATGGGATTGAAGCTTACTGGTTTAAAATGTGCAAGCATGAAAGCTAGGAGAAAATGCAGAGGTCAGCTTAGAGATAGCATACTTGACTGGGAAGATCCATTGCCAAACAAACAACTTGGAAATGCTGATACAATGTCAAGAGCAGCAACACTATCCATAACTTTAGGTACTTCACTTCAAATATTACCAGCAGCAAACTTGCCTCTACATGCTAAGAAAAATAATGGACATCTGGTCGTTGTTAATCTTCAGCCCACGAAGCATGATAAAAAGGCAGACTTACGCATTCATTATTATGTGGACGAGGTTATGAAAGCAGTAATGGACAGTCTCAGTTTGGATGTATCCGAATTCACTAAGCCTGTTGTGAATGAATTCTCAGTGCATTCAAAAAATACTTTTCCCATAAGAGCTACTAAGCGCAAGACAAAATTCGATAAAACTGAAGTAACACATATACACAAGTTGCCAAAGGAAGAAAAATTAGACATTGAGTCATGACATTTTTTTGGCAATTAAAAACCATCGTGCAAACGCTCGAATACCCAGTGGAATCAGTGAGTTACATATAACAGCAGTTTTTCTACAAAAATTTATTTGGTTTGTAAGAAGACATGATCTAAAAAAGTTGTTCAGTGTTTTAGTCTATCAACATCGAATCGTTTAATTGTTCAATATTTTGGCTTAGCCCTTTCAAAATACTTTCGTACTCTTTTCCGCAGTAAGTGTTTTCAGTCTCTTTCAAATTTCTTTCCATCACCTGTTATTAGAAGAAATTGAGAGGGACATTTGCATCGTACACTTGACTATATGTTGTTAATTTTTATGCATACCGTATATGCTCGTTTTTTACCGCCGATCTTGATTATCCGCCCGATGTAAAAGCTGATTTTTCAGCGGTGGAGAACAAAGAATAAGAAGCGCTTTTGTCACAACGCTGTTGAATTTTAAGCACTGGTAGATAACACTCACGCCTTAGGCGTCCAATTACGTAACACCGCGATTCTCAAACTGGGCGTCGCAAAACTTTTTTTTTTTTGCGGATTTGTACCTGCGGTGCAAAGAAAAAGTCAAAATTTTTGTTATGCTTCTGTTGTTATTCTCTTTTAAATCATACTTGAGAACTGGAAATGACAATATATTAATTATTGTAACGATCGATCTTATCTATATGTGACTTGACAAACATTGTAATTTTGTGTATAATTTTACTTTAAAAACAACAAGGGCCCGGGCTATAAAACGAGCAAATACGGTATGTTATGTCATCAAGAATTCATATTTATTATTCATCACCTGATTCAAATAATGTAACTCGTCTTCAAATTTATAGGATTTGATAGTTTCATACACAGCCTTGAAAGTTGGCTGTTTCTCATTGTGGTAAACTCTTCGACATCCATGAACAACTTTCACGCCAGTGTCTTTGGCAATTTTGCACAATTGGCCATACATACAGTGGTCTGGCCTATAATTCCACTCACAGGAGAACACGTATAGCATGTCTGTCAATGACAATGATGCAATGTTGGGTGGGGAGAGGTTGATGACAGAGCCTTGAATTTGTTACAATAAATGCAAGAAATACGAATAAAAATGTTACCTTACCTGGGTTGTGATGAAAAACAATGTTTAGCAAATCCTGATCTCCCCATGTTATATTGTATCTATATTTATTATATAAAGGTAGTAGCATATCTTTCCACATCATTAGACTAGGCTTGATGTCGTTCTTATACCTTACTTTTCTTATGCGTGTCAAATTCATGAGCATAACCTGAAATTAAACCAAAAAATCAATACTTAATGGATATTATAAATTCGCTCCATGTTTTTTATTAGTTCAATGTGCATCAGCGCTAAATAGTTAAAATATAGTCTTACTCCCGAATTGACACCTGTTATTCCATAATACGGATGTCTTGCGAATCTGCTGTACCATCCCATTCTTTTATCTTCGTGCTCAATAGACAGTGCTGACAATTGAGTGGAATTGAATCTGAATGCAGTGAAATGACAATACTTTGCATTTATACTTCACAGTGACATGTTATAGATCTAAATTATGCGAAAGCTTCATTAAAAACAGTCAGTTCTGTAGGTGCAAAATATGTTCCGGTTTAGAAATTGGTCATGTTATATGCAAAACTATAATCAGTCCTTTGTCAGTACGGTAAACAAATTATAGAGTTGTACACAACAAACTAACTTTGTAAAAATGCTCCAAAGTTGAAAAACATCAGTAAGGAAAATGATGTCTGTGTCCACATATATTATGGAATCAATGTCTTTACTAAGCACCATGGGCAAGAATAGTCTCTGCGATGCACAAGGCTTAAAGAGTTTTTTCCAGTTTTTAGCATTTCCATCTTCTGGATATGAAATAGGGTAGAGTTGATACTGAAGGTTACTTCTGTAACGTTCGGGCCAGCTCTCAATACTGAGAAATAAAAGAAAAGGAATCCTTTATTAAAATTTATGTTATTGGTGGTGAGGATGGATTAATTAGAAAAGCTACTAACCCATCAATAAAACCGGAGCGAAGTTCTTCTTCTGTAAAAATATGATAAAAAATGCTTCTCTTTGTAAACATCAATGAAGATTTGATACTGATCAGCGTTTCTTCCAGACGATCACCACAAGCAACAACAGCAATATGTATCAGTGGATCATCTAGCTTGGTTTCCCTGAAAACAAGTATTAATTTTTGATAACAGAGTGGAATGTAAATTTTGAATAGTCAATTTATTTCATACCCAAAATTCATCTCAATTTCTTTTGATAGACAAAATTGAAAAATCGTTTCAAGAAATAAACCAGTTGATAATGAAGATATATTGAAACAAGCCTTGAGGAAGCAAGTTGTTCTTTGTTTGAGGAAAGACCTGAAATGGGTCATTTATGTAAGAATTAGCTCACTAAAAACACTGTAGTCATACAATGTACATATTTTTTTTATTTATAAACATGATCATAGTCATTTCACTTGCAATAAAATTTGGCTTTTGATTTTCGCCAACGGTAAGATTTGATTCATCTGCATACCTGTGACCTTCTGGAAATAAATCTATTCCAGTAATAACTGGAATAATCTCATTTTGTGGGTAAAATTGGCTACTCAACTTTGAATGCATTTGTATTTAATTTGCACATTGTGAATAGAGTTTGATTTATTTCATATTATTGGATCTGAATAAAAATTAATGACTTCCAAAGAAAGCTGGTTGTCAAAATTGAAACATAATGTTAATTCTCGAACAATCTTGCTCTCACTTAAATTGAATAGGTTTTTAAATCCTTTGTAGCATAAAAACCTAAATAGCATTAGGCATTTCCAACCCATGATAACCTTGGAAATTGATGACAGAAACTAAACTCCATATTAGAATTGGATGAAACTTAATAATGATAATCAATGACCTAATTGTTAATTTAAATACTTTTCAGTGCTGAAAAATGAGTCTTGTTTACAAAAGAAATTTGTACCAATAAATAGGCATCATAAGTAATTGAAATTTGATGATATCAATATTTTGTATATTTATCAAAAATTGTAGCTAGTCTTGATCTGTTCATCACTCAAAATTAAATTGAAATCATTCTCAAAATCAGTGTGGTAGAAAAACAAATTATTGATTGATCACTTGCACCAGACACCTGTTTATTTAACTGTTATAAGAGGTGTCTATCAGATATTTCTGTATTTGAATAATAACAATGATGATTGTAGTTCCAAGTATTACTGCCATTTAGAATAGAGATAATATTCATATTCTACAAACATACCTTGCACCTTGCGCATTCATCAAAAACTTTTCAGATAAACTCCCAGCGGCCGTTTGTGCATTGTCGGGTACACACAAATACAGAAAACTGGTTATGAAAAACATGGCCACTAGTCCCCATTTGGCAGAACTGGGGATAGACATTGGTCCAATGGTTGTCTACAGCTAGTATGCTAGTAAATGGCGGCATCCCGTATCAATCTACCATAGCCAGCGCTGTACAACAAAACAAAAGCGGTTTCCACTGAAGTGCCGAAGGACAACACTTCACGAAGCATTATTATTATCTTTATAAAACGAGTCAACACGTTACCAGAGGAGCGGAGGCATTTATTGTTGGACGTTCCATGATAACATCCGGATAATATATAATTTATTTACACAAAGATGGGTAAAAAATGACAACACGCTGAATGGAAATTCTGGAAAAAACCTCGCTGCCCTGCGCAGTCATTGTACCAACAAAGGTCGGTACAAACAATATCTAGCTAATATTATATGATCAGATCAGGGCCATTATTCTGATCAGATCTCCAAAAGCATACATAGATACGTACTTAGATCACCAAACTGTAGTCATTCAATTAATATTACGCGTAATCTTTCGATTTATATAAATAAAACAGTCACGCTTTTCGGTACATGAACAAAAAATATATATGTTGGGCTATGTATCGTATTTGAGTTTAAGGTCGCACTCTACTGTGGGTGAGTATCCGCTCTTGTCGATGAAAGGAATGTGTAGACAGATTTATATCGAATTATTACAGCACAGAATAAAAAATTTATTAAATACAAGGGTCATTTTATCCTCGCGTGCAATTTTCCCTCAGAAATGAAATTAAAGCAAGGAAAAAAGTTTTACTAAAAATTACAAAATTTCGCTCAGTACAAAATTTAACCCAAAAAGCAAAGGCCAATAAAAAACAGGGAGAAAGAAGTGACTGGAAGCATCTAGCGCCCATCAACAGCATAACCTAAAATATTTCGAATCTTAGTTTTGACGGACCCCCATCTTATGCCGTATCAATTTCAACGCTCAACTAAAAATATACAATGACTTTTAATTAAAAACAATCATAAAATATCGATCAGACTCTTTTCATATCGTTGCCCTGTGCAGTCATCGCGAACCCCCAGTTTGGGAAACCCTGGGCTATCCGATACTGTGGTGAGTTATTTTACCTTTGTCACTATGATCGTTTACTGACAATTTTTAACGACTGTTGTTGAATTGACACACTTGTAAGTTAATATTTAGTAATAATGCGAGTTTCAATTTTGAAAGTATGTTATTGAAACATCTTACGATTAAAACCCTTTACACAGGCGGCGCCCATGGCACGAGGCTGCCATACCCTAGATACGCCCATGGTTCGTGTCAATATATTTGAGCATTGCTCTTTTTGTTCTAAGGTATTCTTGTTTTTAAGGTATCTCAAAGCAAAGAGTACTCATAAGGCAGTTACACGCGATCACACCACACTTTGTTCAATTATTCGGTTTACTATGTTGCATGATGTTCGTGTTCGCTCTATGGAATTGGAAATCGCGTTACCGGATTAACTACGAAGAAATGACTGCTGAACCAATCCCCCCCCCCCCCCCCCCCCCCCTTTTGCACGTGTTATGATCAAAGTAGAGTCTACTGTTTAACATATTTACGAACTCTATTTTATCGTCACTGTTAATTTGGATCTGGAACTTTTGGGGATTAATTTCTTTCCTTCTAGGATATAAGTCACTTTCGCCCCACACAACTCTCAAGATAATTCAAAAAATATTAGTCGTTAATTATTTTCGTTTTTTCAACGGTTGAATATATTAAAAATCGATGTAAGTGTCACAGAATAATATCGCTTTCAATCCACTGAGACATTCTCAAGATTTTACCAACTGACGCATTTCAATATATGAAATTTTACAAATCCGAACAAACATACATCGGATAAACTGACCTGTATCTAATTTCATTAATTTAGGTAAATCCTAATGTGTTTCGACGTGCAAATGAGTTTACTAAATTTATGTAATGTTCGAATTTCGATGAGAATCGGTGGCGTATAGGTCATATTTAATAAAATTTGGCACAATTCAGAAATAATAGCAAAATACACAGAAATGATACATGAGAAAAAATTTTCACGCATTAGTAATTTGTGTTCAAAATATCATACAAAAGATGAGTGGGGAAAGTGCTTTATATGAGTTTTTTGAGTTAAATCGAAATTTATTATCAAAAAATTTAAAATTTTATTTCCCGTTTTATTCATATTCTAAAATCTTATTATATATAACACTCTTTGACATTATGACCATAACAGAGGTGAATCAAATTCTTCAAATATTCTTGATGGTCGACGGAACTTATAGCAATGCAGTCATAGATATATAGGCTATAAAAAAAGAAATAAAACTTAAATGAAGTTACTTATTAATAAAGTTAAATATTTGAATGCATTCTAAATTGCTTATATTCTATATATATATATATTCGAAAATGATCTAGAATATACTTTTATTTACAAAAATTTCAAATTGAAGGTTTAACATTTGATGACCAAACTTGAATTCAACTGCTGAAACTGTAAAAAAGAAGCATTGATTCCTATTTAGCTTACAATAACTCGACTCGGAAAAACAGAATAAAATACCACTAAATGAGTTTGTACCGGAATGCTAAATATGCGCCTAAATTAAATGTGAGTGTTACAACAAATATTTTAATTTAACAGAAAGTTTTACCTCAAAGTACAAGATAAATTACTTACGAAAGAAGGACAAACCTATTCATTTTATTAATCGTGAATCTATTTCGTTTACGATAAAAGTGCCATATTTTCGAACATTACTGACACGTGTGCATTTTCACGAGACCGTGAACATCCAGGGATTTGTCCTGTAGATTATTAGATAGTCAACGAATTGGGTCAAATAATTGATATATTATCGTAATGACGCGTGAGAAGAGTCGGGGAGGGATTCGTTTAAAACCACAAATGTCAAATTATGGATAGATTTTGATTACTCTTTCGTTTTTTATCATATATATATTTGAAGCACTTATTTGGAAACATTTTCCGTTTTCAACTCATTTTAGTTCCGAATTATTACTCATCCGCAGTTACTTTCAACTATTCGAAAAGATGCGGATAGTCTTTACCTTTCGGTCTACGTTCACGAATCAGGTAGCGGTGTTTCCAACCGCGAGTCTTCGTATTTTTATTTTAATAATTTCACATTAAGCCTATATAATGCTTCATTTACAACTTTATAACAAAACAATACTTTATGCAGTATTGTTGGAATGTGTACCGGTTGATGTTTGCGGCCCTGTCGGTGTATTCAATATATATATTATATATATATATATATTTAGGTTTTTTTGTAATTGCGACACCAAATTATTCATGTGGCCTGATATGGGAGGGATATGAAAACATTCACGGAGCTAAATGAGAAAGATGTCTTTGTCGCACATTACCTATCTTTTTGTTGTTTGTATTATGAATTATACACATTTAACGTAATGCATATATCATTTCCAGTCGTCAAACAGCTTTGAGCAACAAAAATGTCGCGACTATATTTATTTTGATTTCACGTTGTCGGTTCGTGAAGATTTCTATTTTAGCGTCATGTCACTGTAACCGATTTAGTCTAAGTCTAAACTAGTTTACAACAAGATAGATCTACGGGAGGGTGATTCGGTAGGTAAATTTGAACTAGTGGGTCACGTGCTTCTGTGGTCGAAAGGGTGAAGAGCAGAAGTGTTGATGATAATTTCATTTTCATACTTTTAATAATCATCGATTTAATCTTGGTTGCAAAAAACGACAAATTTCATTTATCTGGAAGGCCATCACAGTGTTGTTTCCAGTTGCCAGAGGACGTCGTCCGGTTTTATTTTGAAGGGGAGGGGGGTTAAATGTGTCGTATATTCAACGAACATGTTGAATATATCTTTATTTTTTACATTGTCAATTGGTTGTATGGCACACATTTGTCTGAATAAATAATATATTATAGTATTGGTGTTTGTGTCTGGCGCCTTGTCGATTGTAAATCTATCTCGTCGTGATTTTTGAAGTTAGCCATCGTAATTGTGCAATGCGATTTTTGAAATATTTCAAATTTCTTCGTCTTTGTATGTGCTGAGATGTTTCTGTTTAATTGAATTGAATATATGAAAAAAGCAGACTGAAAATTTCTTGAAACTTGGAGCCTCCTCGGTGGTTATACATGGTTGGTTCTTTAGTAATTTAATAACTTTTCTTCTGGTAAGATTTTATTGTGAATATTCAGCATTAGAGTATGAATAATTAAATGATTACCGTATATTTGTTTGCAACGTTTCTAGGTCGCTACTCGCTTTATAGTGTTCCATATAATTTTCAGCTTTTTAGTAAGCAAGTAATTGTTGAGTCATGGTGTTTCAGAAATAATATGAGTGTTGGGAAAGATTATTATTTTGAACTTTTCGGATTAATTTTACTTCTTTGTGAAATTAAGATACTTCATTTAATTATTTAATCATCCGCTCTGCGGAAATAAACAAATATCCGCTATATCCGCTTCCGACCCGCGTTGCAAGGCACAACCCCGTATTTGGCTCATTTTCGTTCTATTTGAAAATAATGGTTGAACCATTGTGGCAAAAACAATGTTAATAAGTAGACTTGTTAATTGGTACTATAGATAAACGCGGCATATGCCAATACTTCAGTAGTAATCATAGGGCTATTTTTACCGGCTGCGATTCGGTCACGCGGCACCCTAAAGTAATATCAGCCAGGGGCACAATATCTAGTACGAGAGTTTTGGAAATGTTCAATTATTTCATCGCCCACGCAGTCACAGCAGCAAGAGGTTAAGAATAAAATAGGTTTTCGACAAAAACATTACAACTTTTGTCCGCAATTCTGCTTTGCTACGTTATACCTCAGTCATTTATAAGTTATTACACCTACGTATTTTTATTTTAAGGATATTGTAAATCGCTAATTACAGGGAGAAGAAAGCTTATCAAAGTGGAATATAACCATGAAAAGAAACGTAATGCCGGGAGTCTTTTGTTTTGAGTAGTAGCAAATTGTTTCACCTGAAAATGTGTTTGAAGGTATTTGAGTATAACATGTATATATATATATATATATATTAGAGCCATAATTATACGGTTGCATAAAATGAGAATTTATAATAGTGAAATTATCAACGTATATTAAACCGAAATTTGTCAAATGTAGCTCTCAGTTGTGTCCACACGACATACATATTTATCTTCTGTAATCGTAATATCGCGCTTTTCAAATTTCATCCGTGTTAAACATACCAATAATTTTTTTTTGTCGAAAAAATTGTATAATTTAATTTAATCGGAAATAATAATGTTCAAAACATACCAGAGAATTTATTACCGGAGGCCGTTTTACTGTAAGTCATTTGAATCACCAGCGTTTTCAAGATCGTCATCGCTGTAATTATTGGTTTTTACGCGCAAACCATGACGTGACTGACACCATTGTAATTATGGCATTTTCTGTTTGTGTCTCTTGTTCACAATGTGTAACTTTATTTTAAATTGAATTTATTCTGTCTACAAAAAAATTCTGATAAAAAACATTTTCTGTACACATTATTTTTACACGAATTAATATTTTATTTCATATTTATATAATTGTCATGGAAATTTAAATGGACGTCGTCTCAGTGTGGAATCGCGTGAAGTTAGGAATAATCATAATATAATTAACAATTTCGTACGTTTTTGGAGCGTTATAATTTGAAGGTGGAATTGAGTTAATTTTTGATGTTACTATTTACGGAGGTAAACCACTTTTATTTTCAGATATATTTATGTCGATGGTATGCTGTTAGATTTCATTCAAAAGTGTTACCTTCATGCAATAGTGAGTGGTCGTTAACTCTGCGGGATTATATTGATATACTGCGCGCTGCGTAGTAGGTCGAAGAGGGAGGGGGTTGTGTGTTCCGAAAGCGTTTATACATTTTTCATTAAAAATTTATGGCTAGAAATAGGAATTGTTTATCGAATTTGTTGAAAATATTGCTAAATGTTATTAGAAGAAAATCATTAGGTTCAATCAGTGACGTGGATTTTTTAAGTTGAAACTTTTTGATTAAAATCTCTTAAATAATTAATATGATTCTGTAATGTCGCGAATCTACTCATTTGATATGTGAGCATTAATAGTAATCAGTGTGAATATCTTTGTTCTTTCTGTTAGAAATATGTTATTATCTCCAATCATGCATGAACAGTAGGTAAGAACGTATGCGTGTTTTTGCTTTGGGTAGACATTTCTATTATGTTTTTGTGTAATGGCAAATGAGGAATAATTGAACTTTGAATAATCCATTCATTATGAGTGTCCTTTTACTGTCAAATAGTACGAGATACACAGTGTTGTAAAATAAATATACCCCAATAAGAGCTTCATGTCACCGACACGGTTTGGCGGGATGCCTATTTTTCAATTACGGGGGAAACTAAACGAACAGGTTCATACATAAAGTTACCGAGATAATATTTGATTTGACCGACGAACTAAAGCTATTAGTGTGGTCGAGCTTTCCAGATAAGTTTAGGAATTTATTCTGAATTGAAATAAACTCGATTCATACCGGCTAAGAATATATATTCGGAATGCCAATCTTCATTATGGATTTAACAAAACTAAGCCATACTGAGAAATCCTTTTGAACATTGACTAGTGCTATTTTATTTGTAAGAAGAATGTAACATTCGGGTTTTAGCTTATTAATTTCAACTAGACTTTCGATTAAAACTTCTGGAGTGAAGATTGTACTTCTATTTGTTCGTTTGATTGTTCGTTCGTTTGATTGTGCGTTTATTTGTTCATTGTTTATATGTTCAGTGTCCATTCCAGTAACTATATTCAAAAAGCAGTTGACCCGCATTCATGCCAGTCTCACTGAGCTTGTCATATTCACAGGAAACAACACATGTGGTGATATTGAGAGACTCGGTTTTGGAATACATTTACCAACATTTTAGAATACAGTGGATCGATCTTTTCTAATACTAGGTAGATACGTCACTGTAGCCAATATTTTACGTATGACGTGAACACCTTAAATCAAATATATATCTAATGGTAACCTAGTCGAGTAAACAAATCCCGTATAAACAAATGAGTGAGTGAAAACCAATAAACGTTAAGATGTGATAAAAAGAGTGTGAACGACGCACGTCCTCAGGGAATTCCGAAATGCTTCAAATAGTTTAAAATTTAAACGAAAAAATTGTTTTGACTGGAAATGATCATTTTTGATAGGCATTTATTGAAATAAAATATTTATTTATCGTTATTGAAATTTAAGATTGTTTATATAATGAGAACATCATATTTAGCCATGTTTTATAGTGGAATTGGTAAACGGCCATAAATAAAGGCATGATTATTTATGGTAAGAGAATAAATATCCAAATCTGTTTCGATCGCATCATTTGTTCAACAAACAAAACGTACTTGCTTGGTTGGTTCCGCAATGGAGGTGTGTTCTACAATCTACGCTACAGAATCTTGTATGAAATGTGTTTATGTTTGCTCCGTATTTTAGCAATATTCGCGATTTAGCTTCACGAAAGCAATATAGTTTAACGAAGGGCATATAAAAAAAAGGTCTTTTACAAAATTGGGTACTTAAATGAAGTGAGATACAGGAGGAAGAATATAGGCCCAACTATGTTCTATAGATTAGAACACGTTGTCATACCCACGTAGTTTGAAACTTGAGAGTAAAAATATTTTATTAACTCCAAGATGATCTAAACATTCTAAAGTTTAAAACGCTTAAAAAAAATTAATACGATAAATTGAAAATAGTATTGCATTTTTCGATAAAAATCCTTACTGTATATTTTTTGTTTACTACAAGTATTAATACCCGAATTCAGGACCCCTTAGCGAGAAGAAAATTTGTTTAACAATTATACCGAAGTAATAAATGTTCGTGATGCTCTTATTCAGATATAATTCATAGTGAATACAACATGCAGGCGAAGCAAATCATATCTATAAAAAGTATAATCATATTATTTATATTTTTTTTGTATATTTACTATAGCTTACAATAAAGTATGAAAATGATGAAACTTATACTCGACTTAACATTATTTATCATCCTGGTTTTTCATCCTGCTCATGGATTCCCTGGGGGTAAGTCAATGAAATTTCTAGTCTAGTCACTTTCGTGCCCTAAAGTAGTTCATCAACTGCTATTGTGCCCATTCCCTAATTTTGTTTCATTTGTTTGTAACCGTCGAAACTAATATATGTCTCACCGACCATCGACTTCCTTGTCCACTTCCGTAGCAGTAGCAATGACTAACCATCACTTACACTTAATGCAACAATTGAGATTTTAGGAGCCTAACAAGCACTTCATTCTGACTAACTTTACTGTTTTGAGTACGGTTTACTAGTTTTTAGTTTGTGTCGTCAATTTAGGTATAATTCAAATACCTCATCAGTAGTTTTGTTTTCGGGAAAGTTGCTGTAAACAAAAAACGGTCACGGAAAACTGGGATACATATGAGCGAAATTTGCTTTTTCACCGCAGCATGTGTTCGTAAAAATGTATACCCGTTTACACGCTCAAACTCGCCGCGACTGTCCCAAAATAGTCGGCACATGCTTTGCAATGATCAAAGTATAAAAAAATTTTTTTATGGGGAGTAGGTCGGGAAAATATTCATCGCTATCTAATATTCGACTGTTTTGTGGGCCGATCGAGTTCATATGAATAATAGGTATACAATTTTTTTTTCATTATGGAAAGTATTATCACTGTCGACGAATAATTTTAAATATCATAATTCTTTTCCAGTTCTCCCTTGTTCAACAAATGAATGTCGACATCGAAGGGGTTACATTCATTTTTTCACATGGTTCCGTCAACCATATGACGGCTTGGACTTTAGGACAATAAATATCACAAAAGATTACGTAACATTGTTTGATATTACCATTGTAATAAAGAATATGAAGGTATAAATAAGTTTTGTGGTTTAAAATACGTTCTTTACCAATAAACCCACAACCAAAGAGTCCCGAAGTACGGTTATAAACAATTGTACTTTGGGATGTGTTATTGCATTGTGCAATGTGGTTTTGTGGAATTATTTGGGTTGATTTGGAAGGGTTTTATATTTATAGCTTGATCGAATAATAGATAAATATGCGTATGTTCGAAATATGGTTTGATTATGTTGGTTATTTTATTTTATAGAATTTCGATTCAAATTCAACGGTAATTCAAATCAGTGCCCAGTCAAAAGCGGAAGATTTTTATTTTACAAACGTAAAAACATCGGCAAACAGAATATTTCACTTCAAAAATGTGAAAAATGTAAAACTGTTGCTATTCTCATTCAAGCAGAATGTCGTTGCGGACTTGTTTTATTTCAGTAAGTATTTGATAAGATGTTCAGCCGCTATGAAATTTATCATTTTAATTCATATTTTATCAAGAACTTTGCAGGAAAAGTGCGCTTGAATGCAGGAGAGCCTGCCTGTCATAAATCGATCATACATACTATTCAAACTACTTGACTATAACTAATTATGTTGTACAGTATCTCATATTTCACTACGGTAATTGAGTTAAAATTTCACAATTTGCCAATGTGACTAAGCAAGTCAAGATTTCAAGAAATTACATATTATGTATATATAATAGCGCATATATTATATATTTATTGTATGAAGTTGCTGCCTTATGTTTACAGTGGACTGCGACTTCAAGATGGAGCAATTTTCTTCTCTCACATATCCGGAAAGAGATTCGAAGCCCGTTCCAATATTAAAGACTTTATGGGGACATTTATTAAACATTGATGCAGTGCACAGACCTCGCAAATCCTGTTGGTTTGTTGTGCCATTAGACAATTATGAAGGTAATTTATTTAATGTGATGTCTTCAATCATTTGAACATTAACGAATAAGCGTTATATTAGTCGTTGATCTTGAAGCTAAAATAGATATGATGATTGTTCAGGGCAAAATTTAGCCTAATTATATTATCAGACGAAGCACTATAGTGAATATGATACTTGTTATTGGGGCACTACAATAACGATAGAATCACTTGATATGCATCGTTAGATTTATAAAATCGATCTCTATAATAAATTCATGTACGACTCTTTCCTACCGCGGGCGCCATTTTATTACAAAGCGTATGTGAATTGTTAATGTAGAATTATACAGTATTTGGTTATTCCACGAGCTATTTTATTTAAAATGAGCTGGATTTTCCCGGTTTGGTTCTGTTGTATTCTAGCCAATCAGCGACTATGGTTTGAAATAGGCCTTTGAATTTTTTATATTTTAGCTTTGCTTACAGCTGTAAAATATACATATTGTCTGACGCTTTAATTTAACACGATGTTCTTTTCCTATGCAACTAATTTTATTTTCCCTTGAAGTATTTTCATATTAAATTCATTGTTTCGTTGAAGGCTTGGCAAACATTAAGAATACATACATCGTCTTCGACAACGCGTTGAACAAAAACTCAAAACTTGATATCACGGACGTCATAACAGATAAAGTTGTTCTGACACATTCTGATAAACTGTCTTTAGGTCCGGGAGTAACTATTGTCGAAGGGCAGGTACTGAAAATAACAAATTTATATTTTATTGTGGGTAGAAAAATCCCATGCTGATTTGTTATCGTTCATGAAAATCTATATTCATTATTCATCATATCTCGGTTTTCAACTATTATTTTCGAAGATTTTAAATCAGTTTGGTGTCATAAATTCTCCCTAACTGCGACGAGGATCGACAAAGCATTATTTTTTAATAGGAAAGTGACAACGAACATTAACCTAAGAACTGATGCTCAGTATTTTTAAATTGTTTGCATTTGTTAATACTGCCTGATTTCTCATTTGTGACATCTTTATTTATTGTGTGTATTTATAAGTATGAGATTTTCATATGTTTTCTGCGATATTGTGTCATGCTTTAGCTTATTAATAGAGTCGAGCCAAACGTAATTTGCCGCTTCGCATAAAGTCATGGATTGTGATTAGAGTGTTGACGAAGGCCTTGACGAATCATCATTATAATAATTTTCGGAATGAAGTAAATAATAGCAATTCCTAATTTTTGTTCGTTACATTTCCAGGACAAAGCAATAGAAGTTGGAATAAATAAATTTCCTGCGACTACTGTTTTATTTGTTGATTATCAATGTGTTTCTCCATTACTCGATTGTTCAACAGATTCAAAGTTTCACATCAGTTTTAAGCGTGAGTATTCGATTTAACATGTTCTCATTGGTTCAAACAAATCAAGTCGAATATCAAATCGCATATTTTTGTTATTTTCAGCATTCACAAACTTCGATATTGAGTGCATTAAAGTAAGTTTTCGTTTTCTTGATGAAATGCAAAGAACAAGCATATCGTAATTAATATCAAGAATCTATCAATTATATTCAGTTACTTCATTTCAGGTAGAAGAATTCTGTCGTTTCGGTCGCGGTGAAAGTCCTTTTCCAACTTGCAGACCAGAAGATAGAATTATATACAAAGATCGATCTATTTCAAATTGCCTTGCACTACAGGATTTATTGGACAGTATTGCAAAACAAGTATGTCATATTTAAGTTTATTTTATTTAAAATGAATATATACGTCACGCTATTCGGAAGCTTCGGCCTGAATAAAACATGGAGGAAAAACCGCAAACTACGCATGAAAAAAAATCATCATTAGTTTCGAGATAAGTTAATATACTGTCTTACGGAATTTGTGATGATAGACCATCGAGTGCGAGAAATAATTTAACATAAACTCTTTTCTATCGATCTGTATTGTTGAGCGACAGAAATAATTTACCATTAGCGCTTTTTTATTAATCTGTATTGTTGCAAGTATTTGTTACCTCATGTCATTAATAAATATCAAACATTCATAGTAAATTTTACTTTATTAGGTAATACCGCCAATATATAACCACCCTATCAGCTTATTGATGCTTGCAACCGGTCAAAAGATCCCGGGCTTAGAGCCATTCCCTGATCTAAGTACGAATTTTCTACTTGATCGAGAAGACCAATCAGATCTAAAATTCAGGCGAATGGGATCAACAGGGAGGTGTTCTAATATCCACGAATACTGCCGGACAATTCGAATGTGTAGTTCACGTAAGTTGTATTCATCTTAGTGTACTTGTTCCCAGCGCTTTCGTAATCGAGTTGTCCAATTGGGTTTAAATAAATATACTTGATATCAGGCCAACTAAATCTACACTTCATGTCGAGTAAAAACGAAATATTGCCTTTCTTTTAGGTCTCATTTTTTTTTGTTACAGAAGGAAGTTGTGCACGAGTTTGTCTGATGATGCATATACAGAGGGGTTGTCCCTTTTTCGGGAGAAAAATGAGCAATTAACAGAATCATTCTCAATGAATGAATCTATTGCGTCGAAATGATTTACCCAGCATGAATTTTATGCAGGAAAACCTGGAAACAAATTTAGTCTACATGTTAGATATCTGATTTACTCAACAGTGATTCAATATCTCGAACCTCAGTTAAAGAGCGAACAAACATCCAAAACTGATTCGCAAGCTTAGATGGCTTAGATTGTTTATTGGACGAGGGTAATGGTTAATATAGTATTTGTAGCATTCGGAAGCATAATAGCTACTATTCACAGAAAAAGTGTAATATTTAATAGAATAATTGTTTAATATATATATTTCATGGTGCAGGTAACCAGTTCCTATTTTCAAGTTTTTTTTGTAGTAGATTCGCTCGTAAAATCTGGAAACTTTCACGGCTTTATCGAATGGTGCACATAATTTTATGTATAAAGTATTAACGTGAGGTTTTTGCTGAAAAAATATTTGAAACCACACATTATTTTTTATTTTATTGCATAAATAATTGCATCCATTGTTTGATTTTGTTGAACTTCCATTCTGAGTTACTGCTTGGCAATAGTTGTCAAGTATCAAATTTATACGAATGCTGTAAAACAGTTGTATACATTTTAAAATCTGTTTTCGAAAACCATTACTGGCCTTGGATTAGGCATATATGATGTATATATATAGGGTGGGGTAAAATAACCTGACAAATTTCATTTTAATTTAAAATGTGTAAATATTTTTTGCGCCACCCTGTATATTGAATAACTGCATACAGAATTTCTGCAGACAACTAGTTAGTTATTCATCAACACGTCGATCGCGATCGACCGGTCGATCTCCACGCCTCGAGTAGTCACTCTAGTCAGTCGATCGCGTTTGATGTTAAGTGAATTCAATAAAATACCTCAATAAATTGCCTCGAATCAAATCCATGCAGCGCTTGTTGTGTGTTTTAAAACACAAATAATACAGTATTGTGCTTGCCCAAAATACGATATACACATACCGTATAGCAAGCTTGGGCAAGGATTTTGGACCGGGGGCCACAAATTTTGTCCACCCAGACTGGCGGCCTGGCGGGCCATGTAAGTGTGACGTAAAAAGTTACATTTTATGAACAATATTTACAGTGTTACAAAAGCGAAAACGGAAAAAGATAAGCCTCGTGCCAAAACTGAATTTAATCAAATCTCAACAAATTTATTGAGTTAAAACTTCAAAATTTGGTTTTAGCCCAAACAACGGGACGGATTTGGCCCGCGGGCCGTGGTTTGCCCACGCCAGCTGTATAGTATTTGAGTCTGGGCAAGATCGATGGGGCATATTATTACGTAACAAATGCCAGTTTGGCCGCTTCCAAGGTTCAAACATTAAACTCGCCGAATATCGTATGTCTTGACTGACAAGTGACCCTACAATAACTTCTGCAGTATACGGGAGTTATTGTTTCGCCCCAAGAGCAGTGTGATAAATTTTATTCGCAAAGATACCAGCGGTATCAGAATGCCCAATATTTTCGAATTCTAAGCGAGCGAAGAATCGGAAATTGTAAATTAGATACTGAAGTTTAAGCAGTCACGTAACATTTATTGTTTGGGAATATGTTTATTCGCTGTTTAGAATTTAGATAATACATGGATACATGGCAATATTTTTTGATGAATTTTCAACACTTACGACTACAAATTAGGTAGGTGTTAGATCTGAATTGCTTGATTTGAATGAATCTTGAATAAATAATGACATATTACTCCGGGTACAATTACATAACTAGATCAAATTGAATGGAACATAAAAAATGCAATTTTTTGTGGCGATATCATTACGAATGCGCCCAAAGAACCGAGCTTATGGGCAGCGGTGGAATTTTATTTATGCGTGTGTGCAGTTATCTGCGCATTCAGCCCTCATTCGTTTTTGCGTATGTTCTTATTATATCGATAAGTCGATCGCGAGCTATTTTGACGATTTTAGTCGATCGCGGTCGAAAGCAGGTTGGCCACACCTGATCTATATCAATAACATATGAAGTGTTTGTTATACATATGCAAACTTTTGTTTTATTGATCTCATCACGACTAGCGACGATTTCCATTATCTTTTTTTAACATCGAATAAATTTTCATTCAGCAAACGTTTTGATGTACGGCTTGAGATATCATTTGACGTTCCAAATAGTTGCAAAATAGTAGCGTTATTGACTGGTTCACAAATTGGATATATTGGAAATATCAAACTGGAAAGATCCTTGCAATCCCCAAAATAGTAGTTACTCGCATAGCAGTAATCACTTGTTACAGCCTCATTCGGAATGGAGACATTTCATGAAAATAATTCAAATAACTCTTTTTTGACAAGAGCCCCCAGTCACGTCCTCCACAACATCCAAGCATTGGATTTGCTATGCAGAATATTAGCAGAAAATATTCAATATCACTGAACAAGGAGACGACTAGAGATAGGTCAGTATAACAAATGCTACAAACCTGACAGGTTTATTACAGTGGACATCTCCCCATGCAACATTCAGCAGATTCATGCATCCGAAGACCGCACTAAAAAGATATTTTAAATAGCATTGACTTTTATGTGACTACAACCCACAGTCAGTTTGGGTTCAAGCCTGACCATGTAACTGGCATGTGCATTTTAACACTAAAACAGCTTTTTAGATGCTACAAAAGTTTTTGATAAAGGTAATCACTGGTCTTAGATTTGTAGATTGATCAACAGCAAAATTCTAAGATATTTTTATCGCTGATTGATTGTATACAGTATACACTATACATCAAGGCTGCCCAACCCGCGGTCCGCCTGACTGTTTTTTGCGGCCCACCCCATAAAGTTGTAATCAGACTTTTGATGTTTTTACTATGTTCCATATCAATATATAGGTTAATTTTGTTTCGTGATTTTGGTGTGATTATTGCTGTCATCTATCTGCATTCAAATGCCGGTTCTTATTATTACGTATGTGTTAAGTCTTGCGCCCTGGTGGACATCGAAGTCAGTTTTTTTTCATTTCTCGCAGAACTGGGCGTTCTGTTCGGCGAACTCGAAAGATATTGTGCGATATTTGAGGACGAACGCTGAGCGCAATAATAGGAATGAATTTGAAGCCTAAATTTACAAATTAATTTCATTCTGATTGTTTTCTTACGTGTCTGCTTTGATCGTCTTTATCGCCAACGTTAAATAAAATGTCAACAATATCTTTGATACTGGTCCCGAGACTCGTCCTTTTATGTCTTTTTTTATCAAATGTTTGGGTTAAATTAGATTTCGGAAATGTCGTCACTGCGTATCCGTCAATATTTCTGATGAAATTGACATTGCTGCATATTGGTCACGAATCAGTATAAGGTATTCGTCCAGAAATTTTCGTAATATTACTTTATTAAATATTTGTATTGGTGTGAAATTTCACGAAACGGCCAACTTGAACTTGATATTCCCGCGACATTTGCCCACATTATGCTCATTTAAACATTGAGACAGTATATATCATAGCTACTGAAAATGAATGAATAAAATCTCAAAAAACTCAATTTCGACGTGATGTGTGTGTTCTCGTGTGGTCGTCAAAGAACTACAAGTGTCATGTCCACGCCCCGTGTTACCAGATATTCGAGTAGTAAACTGCTATTCTAATATTCGAGTTGATATTCAAAAAATTTGCCAGCCCTACTCAGTAACCAGAAAGCAAGTATTAAATTGATTGATATTGCCTTTTATGTATTATGTAAATTACCTACACCGAAATCAGGGATTAACTGGTATATTATATTAATGATTGGTACAAACGTTTGCGGCCCGCAACGAATTTCGTAACTTGAAAGTGGCCCGCGAGACGAAAAAGGTTGGGCAGGCCTGGACTATGCATCGACTACAATCTATATTTGCTATGATGGGGTAACTGTGTGTCAGATCCATTCTCTGGCCATAATGGAACAACCAACGACTAACATACCGGGCACAACTAAACAAGGCAGTTTGCGTCGATATTTCTATGCTGCGGATCATGGACGGCCTGGCCTCTCTATTTAGTTAAATGAGGGAGCCATTGAATGTGTGGCAAATAACAATATTATTAAGCTAGTGACGCGTTCTGCATTTCCCCTCCTGTCAAAGGCCTGCAAAGCTTACTCAAAATGTTTATGACATGTTGTACAACTCTAGGAAACTGTTTGTATGTGTATTCAGAGTAAGGAGTTGAGGTTGGATAGCCTATCAGTCAGGGGTGGGTAGCCCCTGGCACGCGAGCTCATTTATTCAGCACGCGAGCCAGGCCTCGGAAACGAGATCTTCGGACGGAAACTTCAGATAAAAAGTTTCAAGATTCTGAATTATCTGATAAAACTCGGAGTTCGTTTATTCATTATCGTTTAACAATCCAATATTTATTTAAACATTTTTTGTCCTTTCAAGACATATGGCTACAAAGTAATATATTATGGCGTAACAAATGAGTGAGCTGTCGAGATGAGCGCATCATTCATTTGGCTACATTCTTACATAATATAGTTCGTCTGTGCCACCCTTTTTCTTAATTTCACATTGATTTATGAAGTTGTAAAGCTTATGTTGGTCAGAGTTACTTTCTAACTTATTGTTATAAATTGATTTCGAAAGAAATATAAGCGATTATGGAAGGGAATACAAGAGAGGAGTGCAGAAAACGAACTATTGCGAGACTGGAATGCTATTCCCGAAAATTTTAATGTCTTAAAAACTTTGCAACTGTATTACTCTCCATGTTTTCATCTACATATGCTTGTGAATCCATGTTTTCAGTTATAAACTTTATTAAGTCTTGTAATAGGAGTAGCCTGAAAGATGAAACCAGTAGTTCATGTATTTCTCTGAAAGTTACAAAATATAAACGCAATGTAAAATCTCTATCAGCGGTAATAAAGCAGCAGAAGTCTCACTGATATTAAATAAGAAAAGTAATCAAATCTATTTGTCGTATTGATAATTTCCCGAAAAGTGAATCTGACTGTACATGTTCAAAAGGTTTAATATTGTGTATCTTTGCTTTGAAAGTATAGCAAAGAATTGTTTTTAGTTTTGATCGGCACGCGGGAGAATTTTGTCGTTAAATTTAGCCGATTTTGGCACGCGAGCCAAAAAAGATTGCCCACCCCTGGAACTGGTATCAAGATTTGTAATTCTGTATCGGAATATGTTGCGTCTACTAAATATCTTAGATATTTTTCTGTCCAACGATCTATTATGAAAGATAACCTTGATTTCTAACGTCAATACTAATTATTCTATTCTATAGCCAATTTATTTTATACCCCTTTTTGAGTTCAAAGGGGCCGCTATCATATCCAAAGCTGTTGGTGTTGTTTCGCCTCTATCATTGGGAGCGTTGCGATATTACATCTTTATATTTACCGCGCCTGTATATTATATCTATTCATTCACCTGTTTATGTTCTTTAAAATATGGATCATAATTGCCTGGAGTGAAAAAAATGAATATTTAGCGGCAACGAGCAGGGGACGGGGAAAATTTAAGACTAGACTGCTGGATGAAAAAAAATCAACTCTAGACTCGTTGTTGAAAAAAATTTAGACTACGTCACCCAGACTTAAAAAAAACTTTGGCGTATACGAACCTTCCATTCAATCTGTAGTCTGTTCTAAAATTTCATTCATAAGATTTCGGGTCACTGAATTCTGTAAATTTCATGATAATAAAAATAGTGGATGGAATGCCATTTACTATTTATTCATGATTAATATATCTTCAATATTGAAGTGGAGTATTGAAAAAAATCAACATTAGAAAAATCGGTGCTTCCGAAGTATGCGAACCAAGATGGCGGACATCGTAACGTAACATGGGTAACAGGTTAGGGTTAAGCGATAATTTTTTTCCAATTTTTCTTATTTAAGTCCTATTATCAGTTCGAAGACTAGCCAAGAGCCTCCCGTAGTATTTATACCTAATATTATGGCCTAACCCTAACCTAGTACACATATTACATTCCGATGTCCGCCATCTTGGTTCGCATACTTCGGGAGCCCCGAAAAATCCGCATTTGCCACGAATATAAGTATCAATTTATCATTACATATGCCTTTGACATAAAATGACTTCATATAATCATGACATGAACAAATTACAAAATTTGAGAGCAGCAATAAAAGAGTATCAACATCTTTTGCACTGCTTTGAATAAATAAATTTGGGTCATTGAATCAAAACATTTCTGAAGTATGAGTAAGCAAGTCACACAATGATAATCTCAGTTTGGGTTTCAAAAAAGCATTAGTTCATCGCAAAACAATGTGAACTTTATTTCAGCACTTCACTATTGCTAATGCAAATTACTGCAACTCGACTCATGGTATATATCGGCAGTGCAGTAACTAGCTTTAAAAAGTTATTGAAACTCTGATAACCTGTGGCTAAATGTTCAGCGGCTTGCACTCAACACTGATACAATATAGATATAATGATTATACAAGTTGAACAAATTTTTAGTCATTGTTCGGACATAACTATGTGATGTATTGTATGCCCATACAGTTCATACACATAATTTTTTAATTTCTGGAATATGCATTATAGTGAATTGTGGTCCAAGTTCCACAGCAACATTATTGGCCAGGTGCAGACAAACTTTTGTCCATGAAGCGTCGCTTGGAGTAACAGATCCACCATTTATTTAGCGAGTTAGTGCTCGGATCATAAACTTTATCCAGGAGCCTTTCTCCAGCTTCATGTCGAATCTGCTGGAAGTATGCCTTCATCTGATCCGCATCTTGTCGAGATTGAGGCTTTGCATACATTGCGTTAAGAGGAAATCCTGGGTCCCCTGGGATATCGAAAGGAGACACAGCAAGACTGTACATCTCTTTCCTGCCTTGTTCTTTGGTAGTGGTTCTCTGCAATTTCTTCAAACATTGTTGTAGATACAGGGTAACATAGATCAAAGTGCGATCTGCATCTCCTTTGATGTCATAATTACGAAAAAATATGTTTGCACGATAGAAATACAGCGCTTCATCAATAACATCTTGTTCAGAATTTGGAGGGGCTCTAGGAGCAGGTCCTCGAAACTTTGTGGTACATCGCAATGGCAGCAAACCTACATTAGCAATTGACTTGGCAGGTATTTGGTTAGAGTGATAAGCTGGCATAATGATATTTCCTGTTGAAAAGTATTAGGAAAGTGTAATTTATTAGTATGAATATTGTAATGAAAAAAGTCAAGAGAAATTAAACTCTTACTATTGAACTCTGGCTCAAATGACTTTTAGATCCACCAACTACATTTCATGAAATACTTTGTGAGCAATACAATTAATATTATTTAAGGCAAAGAGGTGTGAGGGCAAAAACATAGGGTGAACAGAAATCACACTTTGTTATGAACTTGCAGTTTGTCACTTAAACTACGCCAGCGATTTCCATACTTTTTGTTTGTGGGGTGGAGCCAAATTATTAAGAAAAAAACTCACGGCGCAATTACATGAAAAAAATTGCTGCCTTTAAATAAAACTCAATTTTGTGATCGTTAATGTTTACCTTATGCCTTATAAAGTTTGTAAACATGTAGGCCTAATATATAAAGCCAAAAGGACAACTCCTTTTTCTCATCTTTGACTGATTTTCCCTTGAAATACTAAAAAATCGTTCATTTTCGCTAAACTTGGTTCAGAAAATAAAAATCACTCATGTTCGCTAAAATCGGTTCAGAAAATAACTAAACTGCAGCTCGCGAAAAATTGCAGCAAGTAGTATTCACCTTTATTGTTACGTAACAACAGAGGCAGACACTACTACGTAAGGAAAGTAAACAACATAGAAAGGTGAATTCATATTCCAGTATACACAGCATTCAAACTAAGAAACAATGAAAATACAATATGTAAAATATTCAATCCTATATTAGTTATGTTTAACACAATTCTATTAATTTTCGCGGACAGGCAGAGCACTTAGCAAATCGGCGCACCTATTGGGAGTCGCTGGTCTTCAGGATTTCAACCTGTGAACACAGGGTCATCATCACAAAGTCACAGATAAGATGGTGAGCGTATTCCTAACGCTTATTACAGTGAGCAACTATGGGTCGAAATATTTACTGTGAAATATTAAAATAACTGAACACCTTTACCATTCTTTGAGGTAGTGAGGCTCTGGTGAGAAGTCTGTGTTCATGATTCCTGAATACTTGAACGACTACCCTAGTATAGAAATCGTCATATCCTTGCTTGCATACACAACCAGACAGCTCTATTTTACTATAGGATGTGGAATGCGATTTATTGCTCCACACTTACACCCTGACAGTCTTCTGTTTACTTTTGCTGTTTCATAAAGCAGAAGCAATTTGTTTAGAGATTGCTGCATTAACAGCCTGAAGTTGCTTGGAATAGCTTAGATAGATGACATTCGGCATTGAGTAATTACAAAGACATATCAATCCTTGCATTATTAAAGTTGATAACCTAATGCAGTGTTCTTCAACCTTTTTTATCATGGTATACTTTTTACAATTTCTCAATACTGCAATAGCTTTGTATACCTTACAAATATCAATATCATCATGCAATCTAATGTGCAAGTGTGCATGGCATGGCAGCGAAATCACGAACCCAGACATGTGACTGCATTATCTATATAATTTGTGATGTACCAATGTCCTCACGTCGGTTCTTTGCGTTAATGACATTTTATATTTAATGTGCGTCGCGTTTGCATTGTTGTCCCCGCTTGAATATTTTATTATTTATCGATATCGATCGGTAAGTATGTTGATAGGTATTTGTCTGTCTGTTTGTCTGTTAGATGCACACGATATTTCACGAAAGCGAGGTTGAATCTGCTCCAAATTTTGCATGTTCATTCATCATATCTCTGAGCAGAAGCCTATTGATATTGGATGAACTATATCGTATAATTAGCGAGTTATTATTTAATTAGTGATGGGACACACGGTGTCGCTACACGGAGTAAGAGCGGATGGATCGAAACCGCAGTTTCTGTTTTGGGGATACCCTAATTTTTGATCGATAAGTATTCGGTCTCCGACCGATATTCTCGTTCATTATAACAGTAATTAGAGTTTAGAATTCCTGACTTAGGCTGTACACCCTTCGTATACCCATTATCGGTTGTATACCCAACTTATAGTCCGGTATACATTTGGGTAGACCGTATACCCGGTTGAAGAGCACTGAGTCCTAATGTCTTGCAAATGAGTGCTTTCTAAACCTGGAAATATAAGCTTTTAAAAGAACTCTGCAAAGTTGGTAAATAAGGATTAGAAGCTGTAACTATTATGTTTTTTCAGTTTATGTCAACCCCAGACTGCCAGAGTTTATACGTCCATAATCCGGGTCTCGTGTAGTTTCGTACCTGAGGTACTTCTAGTGGGCGTAGCATAAAAATCTTTGCATATGTCAACCCCTAACCCCCACCTGACTGTGTCATCCAAAAACTACTGTCACAGAGACGTAAAAGGCCCTTAAAGCTCTACGAACTGTCATCCAAGATGCGCAGACGATCACTCGAAATTGAGCAAGCTATTTCTCTCATTTTCTAGCCGCAACCATCCCGATACGTGAGAGATCGCTGCCGTTAGTTCTTTATCGTCAGCGCAGATGCCATTTCGAGCGATCGTAGATATACTTTGGCAAGCTCTAGGCCAGGGATTGGTGAACCTTTTTCAATGAATGGGTCAAATTTTATCGCGGAACAGAAGAGAGTGGGTCACACTCACAGATATTTAATCAATGTTTGTATCTATACAGTACAGCACACTATCAAAATTCCAAGAATTTCCCTCCATTTGGCTCAATAAAACAAACACTCTATGCGTCTCACAAACGAGGGGCATCTGGGACCACGTCAGATGCGTCATATCACACCGTGCTTGTCTCAATAATAATCTAAGTTAATCGCGTCCGTCACATGACCAAAATTACCGTTTTTTGCTAAAAACTCTCGAATGCTACAGTAAAAATTTTTTTTCTTCGGTAAATCGGATTATTTTTTCCCAAGGAATTCAATGATGATGTTACTAGATTGCGCTTTTTTGTAGTATTTTGCGCAACTTCATTATACTGTATTATTATCGATATTGAGGGACAACAATGTCCAGACGTCGGAGGGGTGTCTGATCATCTGTAAAATGGGTTTCTCTGAAACGGGACAATGTCACCCGATTTGTATAGTGTGCCGTACTGCTATAAGAAACTTCTGAAACAAAACGTATAAGCCTCTGTTGGTGTAGTTTTGGGCTTTACTTATGCAACACTTCTATCAGGGACTTTTTATGGCACTCGATTTTATGAAATTAGAAAACACGCATATGAATTACCAAAAACGTTTAGGATGATGCGGCAAATTATTTTACGATTCCAAAGAGTTTGGAGGGAATTTCACTCTGATAGTTTTATATTTTTCGATCAGCTTTCAACCACATTAAGGCACTTTTACACTACCCCATTGTTATTTCAGATTCCTTGGTTTTTATTTCAAGTCTGAAAGATTTTGTTTTCTCAACGGCATTGTAGGCGAGAAACCAATAAATAGATAATACGCACCCAGGTTTTAGTACATTTTCAACCAGAATTTTTCAAACTCCATGCATAATATGCATATCAAAATTTTTTTGCCTTGTAGGTGTTTGTTCCAGACATTTCAAGCATTCTGTCTGCTTGCCTTTTGTTAACTATATATATATCTGGTAATATGTTTTATGTATTTGCCTATGAAACATCTGCCAATCATGATGTGATTTGACATTAGAGGTATCTTGTAAAGTTATTTGTCCCTCCCCCTTTAAAAGCTGACAAAACCTGATATCAGAACATGTTTTCAGACAAAGAGAAGCCGTAGGTCACTCATATGGTATTTATTATGATAAAGTATTGCCGATTCGGCGAAACAACAGAAATAGACCAGACAATGACAGCAGTTAACGGATGTACAACAGCGTGTTTTTATCACTTTTATTTCATCATTTTTTTCTACGCCTTCATCAACACTAAATTGTTGTTGAACTGGGTATGCTTCTACCGAATCAAGCATGGTCTGATTCTAACAGAATTTGCCACATTAAATTAAGAACTTAAGAATATAAAATGTGACAATTACTTGCCAGTTGAAGCATAAAATGAGAATTAATATTTTTTGATATTTTCTAGACCAATATATAATACGCACCCCCATATTTGTGAGACTAAATTTGACCATGAAAGTGCGTATTATACATGGCAAAATATCGTATATTATCGTGCAAAGCGTTAGGATTCTCACCACTTGGCAACAATACAATACTGCAATAGCCTACTACTGTACTAAGCACTGACTCATCGGGCCAGCGCCGTTCGTTCTTTCTATTTAATTAAAACTTCACTTGTCAGCTTGTTCTAAACATGTTTAATTCGAATAATTTAATTACATATGGTACCGGTAGATAATTATAATATAAATGAGTTTTATCAATCTTACATCAATATATTTAACTTACTTCTACTGTTCTAAGTAATGAAATAATATTCATTCACATATCACAATATCATTATACACATCCCGACATCCCTTTATTCATATCCCACTGGATAAAATATCTCAAAGATTTTATATCTAACATCTATACTCTAAATTTTAATCTAGATCTGAAAAAAAAACATCTAGATCTAGCTATAAAACATATAAAACATTGTATTGTATTGTAAAGTGGCAGCCCTGCAACAAACCGACCACACAGGAAGATGATACCAACCAGGAACTGCCATTAGGGTTGCCTTGGTTTATGTTTCTGCTAGTATGTCTTGTTACTGAAAATAAAAAGTAAAATAATATGAATAAACATTCGTTTTATAGAAGGCACAAAATTTTTTCAACACTCAACTTTCGAATTCGCCAGCAAACATTCGTATATAATAATGGGCTAAATTAATATAAATGAAAGTGCACACTCTTTTTTCGAGGGCGTGGTGAAAATCCACAAGGAGCGCTGCGAACGAACATTGACAGAACAGTGAAAATAAACAAAAACTATTTTGACCTCCTGTCGAAAATACAGCACAAAATTTAACAAAACCGCAAAGACGACAAGGAGATTGTTAATATAGTCAAAACATAGAAAAAGGTTTTTACTGATACCGGTACGCGCGGCCGTTTCCCACAAAGCTC